AAACCGATTATGTTTGAAATACATGATTCATATCACGAAGGCTGAGATTAGTGTTCTGGACTCAACAGGCAGAGCTAAGCTGGAAGAAGGACCGATAGGGACTCTAGATTGCTCGTTCGTGTTTTATGCGTCATTGGTCCGGTCGATAATTCACTGCTCTTTAATTGGCGGCCACAAGTTATAACATAATAAAAACAAACTTATAACATTTAAGTTTATTATATGAATTCAATGTTGATCTAATGTTTATTGTGTAGAACCACTTATTTAATTTAGTTCAAACTTTATCAATAGTATCTTGTCAAAAATGATGAAATAAATACCTCCATGTAAATCACAATGTTCTTGATTTGCACCAAATAGCTCCTTAAGCTACATCTTGAACAGATTAAATGTTCTTTATGTTATATCATAGTGAAGATTGAATTACGGTTAACTTCTGAGAACTATTAATGGACTCATATTATATATATATATATATATATATATATATATATATATATATATATATATATATATATATATATGTATATATATATATATATATATATACATGGAGGTAACTGTTCAGTAACTAGATTATGTATATCTATACTCCTCTTACTTTAAGCTTAATTTTGACCTATAGATTATTATGCGATTTACTGTTTATTGATTGCAGTCTTCCACGTTCACAGCCACTTTTTGGCTTGAACTTGTATAAATGTTATTTCCTATTTTATGGTGTGGTGCGGTTTGTTTGACTGGTATATAAACCGAATATGTTTGAAATAAATGATTCGCATAGTCGGATCTGTTATTCGTTTTCTGAACTCGACTGGATGGGCTAGGCGAACAAAGGACCAGTAAGGACACTCGGATGATCAGACCGGTCGAACGTCATTGGTTTCGTACAGTACAAAAGTGAATAAGTCGTATTTGGATTGGTGAATAAATCATGTGATAATAAGCCGGTCTTAAAGTTACAACACTATATGCTTGCTGTTTCTAATCATAATAAATGTAATCTTATGTATTATAAAAGATTTCTTATTAAGAAGGAAAAAAACTGCCTATGTTTATGCGCAACTGTTTTAACGCTCAGTTTTCTTTGTATACACGTATGGGACGTTAATTTTCTTTAAACGAGTATCAACACTAGATTCTCTTCCAGTGTCCATTCTACAGGACTCCAACACAACTCAGATCAAGAACACGTGATTAGCCTGACTAGGACGTAAATATATTTCCACACCAAAAATCGACAACAAGCCGACACAATCCAACAGCAATCAATAATAAGTAATAATAAAGATAGGGGAATAAGTAACTCATCTAACATTTGTCAGACTCTCTACTCATGTAACTAAGCAAATAATCAATCATTCTCGCTCACATATCAGTAACATAGTCGAATGAAATAATTAAAAAAAATGATACTTTTATTTTTTAAACAAAAATTACCTGTTTTTATTTTTGTTTTAATTTTAGAGTGTATTGTCAGTCTCTACATTGATAAATATCGTTTTCAAGGGAAAGATGTAAGCTATAGAAAGAATGATTTATTCCAACTATTAGAAAATTATAATCTGGATAAATTAATTGAGTATTTTAACCAAGAACTATCTGTATAGAATCTGTTTTTGTTTGTTATTTTTTTGAGCGGTATCTTTATATTTACATACTTGTAATCATTGAATTTTTATGGTAAATACATTAACTTCATACTGATTTAATTTTTTTAATAAGTTACGTCCTGAAAATTTCGTCATAACACTTGATCTACTAACAAGTAGTTCAAGCAATAATATAAAAATAAATAGGCACCTTAATATTCAAACATGACTTCATTAAATCTACAAGTAATGACCTATCTTTTTCAGTTTATTACATCAATAAACAAGGGAGCCGATGGTAAATTTAAATTGAGGTGGATTCCTATACTGAATTGAAAGATATCTCTTTATTTTTAGCTTGTTCGTTTGCACAATAATGATTGAATAAATTGTTGAGTGTATGCAAAACCTACCGTAAAAAATATAAGTTTTGATGACGTATCAATGTTTATTTGAAACGTACACTGTTGGTTTTAAAAACGGACAGTCAGTGTTTTGTTCTAATCTACAATGATTGACCACTGGGTAGTAACCATTGCCTTGTTTGATTGAATTCTATCAATAAAGTTGAGATGTTGCCATCAGTCTGAGCAATGGAACATCACGTTCATTATGTTATTATGTTAGGTGATCGAAAGTAGTTGATAATGAACTCTATTTTGCCTAAGCTTCGTTCTACTTGAAACTCATAAGTAAAAGGTACCTGGGATCTTGGTGGGTCTTATGTTTTCTCTTGGATTCAAACTCCTATCATTATTCAGACTTACATGTTACCACTGAGGTACTGAGACCGCAGCTTACTTGATGTAATGTGAACTTAAATTCCACAGGTGGCATCAGTTTTCTTAAGATTGTCGTTATATCTTGTTTACGAGTTCCAGCTAGCATGAAACCCTAGGTAAACGAGATAACGGCTTATACTTTTTTGAGTAAATATATTAGGGTTAATTTATGTAAAAACTGCTTAGAACAAAAAATGGTACATAGTACAAGAATAATGCTTTCATACTTGTGCTCATCCAAAGATCCATTCATTATCTTCAAAAGCGACAATCAATTGGCGGAATGTCAATAGAAATTAGGTAAGCCTACTAAACGTCATGGCGACTCTGCGATTCTAGAGTTTCATTGAGACTCAAGTATTCATTACAAAATAGAATATGACAAGAAGGGGTATGATTAGATTCAGAGTGTTATATGATAAGCATATGTATAAGTAAACGTTTTTCTGGATTTGATTGAATTACTGACACAAACTTCCACCAAGCAAATAGGAATAAATAATTGGATGTATTAGATTTACTTAAACAGGTTTCTTGATTTCACCGTTTCGGTAAATGACAAAAAAGAAGCTGAGATTTTGTCAAAGTCAGACATAAGTTTTGGTGATACTAGCCACAGATTAATGAATAATAAAAACCAGGAAGCTTTGCGCTCATCTGTTTCATCCCGACATGAAACCTTTTAGCAATGAACAATCAAGAACTTATCAAAAGGCAGACTCAGGAAATTTCAGGTTTGATGGAGAGTGCTTAACCATTAGTTCAGTATCCATCATTTATTTATTTGCGTAATATTTGTTAGCCGATTCTACCATCTTTCATACACATTCATTAACTTTGGATATCTGTCAAACATTCTGTATTTTCAACTCTGCATTTTATATTATTAGAATGTGAAAACGGCACTGTAAACTTTATTTCCCCATCTACCAACAATGTTTTGATATGACTGTTAGTAGAATAACACAGTTCTGAGTTTGAACATAATTTACAACATTGGTCAATGCGTCGCTTGATGATTAGTTGGATACCAGGATGTTCTGGGCGTCTATTTCAGCCTATTTTAAAATGTTTCAAGTGTAAAAACTCAACACATGATTGAGCTGATAAACAATTTAATCTTAATTTAAGCGTGTTAGACTACCAAGTTTCACTCCAATGCTTTACATTTACATTAATTGACCATAAAGTACTGACTACTGGTATGTTTGTTTAGTTTTTATTATTGACCATATTTTATTGATCAAGATGAAATGTATTCAGTAGTCTAAGTGACTCAATATCATCTTCAAACCAATCTTAACATCCTATCAAAGATTTGATGATTCCTTATATAATCTGTGAGGCATACTCACCACTGAAGAGAAAATAGGGTGAGACTATAATTTATAGATGACCTTTGAGCGACGCTAAACTGACCTTGAGATTGTCCACTTAATAACCAGGCTCAAATGAGGTTTATGAACCTGTGTGAGGAATTATAATTATAATTTACAGTTGATGATTAAGCTCAGGAATTAAATTTCGAGTTTTCATCACGAAATGACATCAGTTATAATGTTAAAACTCTTTATTCAAATGAATGAATAAATCTTGTGCCAAAATCCGAGACCTGTTATCTTATACATGATTGGTTCGTCCATAAATTATAATCTCGCTGAAAATAACTGTTCAATTATCTTTGGATTTTCCATCATTCTTCAGTTAATATAATTCAGTGTTACAAATATATTTCAAACTAAACAACTTTCATACATATTGTAGCTTATTGAAGAACTCACTATTGACTCATTTGAAAGTAAGCAATTTGTGTAAAGATGCATAATCTCTTTACACTACTAGAATGGATAGATAAATGAAGATTGTTGTATTATATATATATATATATATATATATATATATATATATATATATATATATATATATATATATATATATATATATATATATATATATATATATATATATATATATATATATATATAGAAAGGAATTAAGTGATATTGTTGAGAGGTGACAATTTTGTAAAATAACAGATTAAACAACAATTTTCAAATTTCTTGTACAAATGAAACAAACAGTATACAAGCTGATACAAGCTGATGATCGTGATCATGATCATGATTATGATTTAATTATGATTGCATATTCATAGTAATTTCTATATCAAAATGACATGTATTTTGTATTGATCCTGAATACTATTTAAACATTAATTAATATGAACATATTTCTCACTTTTCTTTATGTGTGATACCGTTTATGTTTTTTCTTTAACCGTTACTAATTACATCAATTTAACAATAGAATATACAGTATTTATAGTTTAAATTATTCAGTAGTATTTTCTTACTTGACTAATTTTGTTTAAATAATCTCCGAGTTAATTGAAAATTGAATAGTATACTTGTATTGGTAAGAATAAAAGTACTTTTTGAGGTAGTTCAAATAATAATTGACTAGCAATACCAATGATTGTATTTGATTATTTCTATATGAAACGTATAGAATCGTTTTATTTTTATATATAAATAAATATTATTATGTATTTGTATTTATAGAAATGAATGAACAATATGACTGAAATTCCGTCAATTGTCGACATTCATCAGTGATACATCTTTTTCTGTATTTAAATGTACAATGTGTTTTTATGTAATAATGATGATGTTGATGACGATGATGATGATGATAATGATGATGATGGTGATGTTGAATCAGCCATTACAGATGTTATTGTTGATGTTAATAGTGTATGTTCACATGGATCAGGAAATTGTGGTTCTTGTTGCCTTTGAAATTGATATTCACTTGTTAATGGAATGATAGAGTTTTTAAGAGTATCGGATATTTTAGTGAAATTGTGATTTGGAATAATGACAGAGCTCTTGGGGTTTAGTTCAGTTTCATTTTGACCAGTGTTTTGTTGTTGATGTTGTTGTTGTACATAGATTGATTCTATAAGAGACCATGGTGATGGTTGTGTTTCTGCTGATGATATTAAGGCTGAAGGTATTGATGGTATTGCAGGTAATGTTTGTGAGCAAGAGGAATGAAACTTGTAATTGAATGGATCTTGAGATGTTTTTGGTGAATTACCTTGTTCAAAGTCATAAACTAATTGATTTGATTCATTATTTAAACAATATTTTCTCCATTCTTGATATGAAGAAATTTGTAATGGTGATTTGGGATAAATTATTTCAGAATTTTTTAATCTATCCTTGGTGGTTGTTGAATTTAAATAACTATAATCATTGGATCTGTTAAAAGTCCATGAATCATGTGTATTATTATTAGTATCATTACTCGTATCATGTTCTAATTCACTGTCTTCATGTTCATCATCATCTTCATCATTGTTGTCATCATCATCATCATCACCATCATCATTGTCATCATCGTCGCATCTTGGAGTTGAATACGATTTTGGATTAAAATGTGAACATTGATTACTTGTTGACATCGGTAACCAATAATTAGATGACGATGATGATTCAAACAATGATTTCGTCCAATAATATGGTCTCGGTAATGCGTCCAATAGATTCATTTGATCAGTATTAGTCGAGGGATGAAAATTTTGATTCAAATAATTATTACATTGTACTGAATCATTGAATTTTAATTGATTTTGAACTGTTTGACCATCAAAAGAAGTACTGTAATCATCTTTTATATCTGTTGACCATGTTTGATAACTTAAATTACCTGACGATGAGATTTCATATTTTATGAAATTATTAGGCTGTAAATCCAATTTAACATAATTATTATTGTTATTAGTATTGGTAATATGTTTATTGAGATTAGTTTCAGGTGAACTAATGATCGACTGAGTGATTGGACTATTTGAGTTACTATTCGAATGGCCATTTTCAAATCCAGATGATGTGTCAATCGGTATATCATTTGAATTAATGAGAATATCGGTTTCAGATGGCATAGTTTTCATTAAGAGATCATGACAATCTTCATAAATATTCTAGAATAAATTAGGGTAAGTAACGGAGGGGAAAAATGGGAGAATTTTTAAAATATTATGTTTGAATATTGTTAAATGAATGGCGACAATTAGCAAGAGTAAGTGCTTATCCTACATTTTGAGTTAATTGGTATATAGCGGTTGTGGGTTTCTAAGATCATTTACTCAACATTGTGGAAGTTTTGTTGGATTACAGCTAACTGAAGAGTTTGTTCTTCACGTTTCATTCGAACTGGGATTTGCTAAACGAATGTACAGGAACCTCAATGTTGATTTTCACGCCAAAATTCAACCTCAGCGATCATCTTTTCAAGTATTACCACACTATAATTTGAGCTATTGAGTCCAGATAGCTAGTGGCTTGTCGATAAAATACACCCAGATGAAGATTCCCAAGCAAAATGAAACAAGCGTCATGAATCTTATAGTTAACCACTATATGTGACTAAATAACAATATCACGGTAATGTAACTCTGTCTTAAGAAAGTATTTTTTTGTGCTGATATTCATCTTTTGTGTTTACAAATGCATTTTTTTGTTCCACACTATTTTATTTCTTCATAAACATGGTCACAAAGTTGTTCTAGTTGTAACTAACTAACTAAATAACTAAGTAACTAATCAGTTGATAAGACGCTTAACTAAATGAAATCCAAAAATCACTCACTAATGGTAAATTAATTTTACATTGTTCAGTATTTCTAGTTGGCTGAGAATTGATTTGTTTAATTTAATCCTACACAGAAATCGTTTCATTTTAAATCGCCCAATAGCTTCATCTGACACGGTTACTAGTCTAAGTGATTGGATATCACGTGCACTATGTTTTCATGTTAATACTTCCACAGCTCTTGTAGGTCAGAATATTTTTACTTCTTGAAGTGGAGGTTTAGTAGTTATGGTAGCCAGCTAGGTCTCCGGTTCGATTTTCTCTCCACCCACTCCATTTGGAGAACTGGGTAGTATCATTAGGCCTCATGAATAAGGTAACCCGAAACAGAATATGATAATCTGTACCTAGCGAATAATTCATCTGAATTAAATGTAGAATGAAGTTTTCTTCAAAGTGTTTCCAAAAGAAATTCCTGTGATTTTATAAGTATCCATTAAATCTTAACACACAATTAATCGTAAGGCTGATTGAATGAAGTGATGTGTTGAAAATTGCAAATTTAATGATAATGATGAGATCTTAAATTTTTTAATTTTATCTCTCAAGTTGTCATACATATTTATGTACCACAGATGAATGTGCAAACTAAGCTATTGTGATAGAAATAAGGGTCATTTTTTATGATTGCTAAATCACGAACTTGTCTAAGACAACCATTAAAAAACCTGAAAACACTGGAGAACCATTTCGTTCATAAAATGACTACTCACTAGTAGGGATTCACAACTTCTGCGCTGAGGATCGAACCTCGGACATTAAATCCCATGAAAAACACAACCCGTAGGCCATTAATCTGACATTCAATGGTATCAATGTCTAACTTCAATCAATTCAACATTTTGTACATGGTCGTGGATGCGTGCTACAAAAGAGTCTCGTTTTAGGACGAAATGGCTGACCAGTGCATTTAGGTTTTCTGATGTGGTCTAAATAAAATCATTACAAAACCTTAATGCTGATAAAAATAACTTTTACTTATCTCGATGTTATTACTATTGAATGAAAGTTAATAGTATTATTGTCACATAGCAGTTTATTTATAGCAACACTCCAAAATTTATAAAATAAAATTCTTCACGTGTAAAGTATCTACTAGTGATTACGATTTAATCAAATTACTTAATTTTACTTGTACCAAGTTGGATGGTGTCTAGCGATGGAATCCAAGACGTGCGTTCCGTCCTATTTCTGAAATGTCATCTGAGTGTACCTGGATCCCAGAGCTAATATTCACTCTCAGATTTGAACTCAATACCTTTCACTTCAAGTAAGATTATGTTATCCAATTAGCTATTGAGTACAGATAACAACTGGCCGGTATATCCAGCTGATGAATTTAGAATAGAACAAAACGTGCATCTTGGATCTCGCTTATAGCTACCATTCGAAATTTGATTATAGTGCTTGATAATTAATGACATACCGAAGCAACCCTCACAGGATGTATATGTTTTCAAAGAGACTGATTCAAGTTCAGTCCCAGGCATTAATAAGAAAATCTTAATAAACAATACGATATCAATTTTATTTATTCAGTTGTCTAAAAGTTCATTTATTGATTTGAACCCCCCCCCCCAAAAAAAATTATTTAAGATTCTTACCTCTGTTTGATTATTCAATTCACTTGTTTCTGATTTACAAGATAATGAGTTTGTTAAAAGGGACACATCATGACCTTGATTGATTAATTTTTTAAATTTGGAACGCCTATTTTGAAACCATATTTTAACCTGTTAAGAAATCAAGAAATCAAATAAATAACACAGTTTTAAATTAGTTGTAAAAGAACATGTTAGGTTATTTGTAATGTATGTTAATATTTCCAAAATTGATCAACGATAAAATCATCATTGTTCTATCTACCATCTTGATTTGGGATAGGATAATATGGTAGTTTTGTAGGGCAAAAAAAAAATCACCACTTGATATATTTAGCTAACCGCTCTAAGTAGAACTAAGTATGTACGTTTCGACCTGTTTTGTATACGTCACAATTGAGTGTATCTGAATTCCAGTGTTGATGTTTTACAACTAATTTCTAATCTTACTAATTATTAGTCTTTTTTATTCCTTCCATATTCTTTTCTTGCTTCTTTTTTCTTGTTGTGTTCATATCCTATTCATTCAATTTCATTATATTATTCCAATTCATAACATTTTATCCTACTATTAATTGGTCAGTAATACTCATAGCTATTCCCTTATAGTATATAACTTCTTAGCACTGTTTTCATCAATGTATACATTAAAGGTCAAAATCGAAAACTTCAGATCTTTAGGGAAATGCATTCTACATAGATTAATGTGTCAGAAACCAATCAACTCGACTTGGAAAAACAATTTCACAATGCATATGATAGATATCCATTTCAAACTTGAAGTAGTTTAATTCATCATATCAGGGCTTCACACCAGATATTCAAGAACTCAAAAAGTACTAAATCCCAATTTATAAATTATTTATCACAACATTTTTCCGTCATAAATTCCGCTCTTAATATTACTCCTTAAAAATGGAATCATCCGATGATCATGTTTGCTGATGAATAGTTTATTTTATTCCAAAAGACGTCAATGGATTTCTGTATAATCAATAACACAAATGATCTAGAACAATAACTGCAGTCACGAACTCCTATCAGTTCAAGGAGCTTCTATTTCCAGTTGCCAATCAAAAAAGGAAAAAACAGTAAACAGATTTATCTTCTATTATTGTAATATCATCACCAATCAAAAACTCACAGGACTATATACATAAATTACCTGACCATAACACACCGCATATATAAAATCACAATGTGAGTACATAAATTAACTTGGTTGTAAGTGATGTAAAGTTAAGCAACAGGTCCATAATTAACTCATGGTAATTTAGGAACTGTAAAACCTCTAACAACAGTTTATGAATGAAATAGTACATATAGTACAAATTTTAAACAGTATGGACGAGTTTATTGTGAATCTTTACAGTCGTATATATATATAAGAAATATGGATAAAAAATCATAATAATGACGTAATAGTTCATAATATTTAACTTAATAGTATAATCTTTCTACTAAGTCATCATATCTGAAAGGATTATCACTTGATCTTTCATCTAGATACACTGTTGTACAGTTTAATAACAAATTTACTGAGAAGAGATACTTTCATTGAATTTTGTGTTCCGAATGTTGTAATGGGAATTATGTAAACCTGTATTGTATAGTACGCTAAAAATACGTCCATACATTACACCATATATGCATCGATTCTCAAGTAACATCTTTGTTCAGATAGTTGATTACAATATTAATGAAGAATAAAAATTGTCCTCATTTTAATCTTGTAAATAAAGAAACTGGAGACTTTTTGCTCCCCGTTTGTATTACATTTTGTAAAACAATATTTCCAAGGTTCATTATTTTTTTCTTTACGCTTTCCTATCTCGTGTACAGTGTTTTCCGAACTGTGTACGCACACACACACACACGCACACAATAATGTACATACATTCAGATTGCTTCGATACTTTCTGATTTATGCATGATTGAACAAAGTTTATTCAACAATCACAATGACGACAATGAAATAGAATGAAATTTCCGTTGTCTCTTTGACTTTATTTTGTTAAAAGTAAAAGAACTCAAATATTTTTTTACTAAAAAATATTAATAGTTGAATAATTATTTATTAACAATCCATCCAGTCAGTCATTGATGAGAAACATGGAAGATAGGAGCAATGGTAACAATAAAATCACACTCACACACGCACACACTTGTTTACACTCGTAGATATCGTAGTTTGTTTTGTCTTACAAAGGAGAAATCATATATCTATGAGAATCAAACGGTGGAATAAATTCTAAAATAAACGAAAAAGAAAACGAGTCAGAAAGAGAAACTTCATTCACTGAAGCAAGATCAAGAAGAATATCAAAGTATTTGATTATCTTTTAATTTTTATGGTTGGCATAGATACATGAAAAATGACAAGCAAGCAACAATGAAAACACGTTACCCATGTTAATAGAAAGATAAAAAATAGTGTAGATTATGTATTCGTGTGTTTATTGTTTGACTCTTTGATCATTTGTTGTTGTTTTTTTTTAGAGAATGAGAGTATGAGGAAGAGAGAGAGAGGTTGATTATATAAGGTAACTAAAGAAAGAAAATATTTCATATTAATTATGAAAACATATTTTCATTTAATTCACCATGATAATGAAAGATAATGTTAAGGATAAAATCTGCTCTGATCAATTTAGAGCTTGAAACAAATATGCGTTGTCCTAATGAGATGACAAGATTAATTTTGTAGTATGAATAGTAAACGAATCAAAGTAATATATATATATATATATATATATATATATAATGTTGTAGTAATGATAATGATAAAAACTAAGCTCTGAGAATATAGTTCGAGATGAAGGGAAACTGGTACTGAAGATTCGGAGGAAGTCAAAACGTGAATCTATTTGCACCTCTGTGACTGATTTTTAACTCATGTACTGTGTCATCTCCAACGACTGATTGCGATTTTCATATGGACCTAAACCGAGTGACCTAAATATACCTATGCAGGTCAGACCAACATTCAATGACTGTGTAAACTTATACCCTGCATTGCTTTGGCCTCCTCAAGCTGTTTTGCAACTAAATCCTATACGAATTAACATTTTCCACCGAGGTAGGCAATTATTAAGGATATATGACATCTATTTCAACCACCTGAGTCGATGAAATATGATATACTGTATATTTATTTCAGCATAGCTTCGTAAATACTCAGTAAAACACACTGACAAATTTTCAGGAAGTTGAGTTGATAATTTGATTGCCTTGTTAGTACCTATTTGCGACGTGTTTTAACGACGGATTTTAAAGATTTTAAGGAATGTATCATGATTGGTGAAGCCTAATTATCCCGGTAGTAAAACAGAGAGCACTGATCGTATTTAAGTATCGTCAAGTATTATTTAGCGAAGAATAAATTTGTGGTTGTAGGACACTGATTATTGACAAAATGATCTCAACATATTGTTCTTTGTTTAAAGATCTTTTGTTTCTTGACTCAACCTTGTGTGATATTAAGCATACATACTTATGTTTACTGGTGTACTCTAGAAGCACATATTTAGAGTAGCGATTTAATTGTAACATTTTATACGGTCGAAATGATGTGTATACCATCTTAAACAAAAACAGACGTATATTATGAAGATTTGAGTACTTTATTGACGAATGCACCCTACATTTTAATTTAAAATTAATAATCCAAGCGTTTTTGTACAGATTTGTTTTCGTAAATTACATTCATCACAGATCAGTCTAAATTCTCGACGTGTCTGAATTTCAACAATCAATCTGTGACTGATACTTCCCACAACTTACTATCTATTTTGATTATTAGTCCGTAAAAACTCGTTTGTAATATCTGAAGGCGGTTTTACTTATTACTAGATGGGAGATTGGTAATTCTCTTTAGTCTGATACTATAGATATTCACCATTGAGACATAGCAATCTACAATGAACTACCTATTTAGTGCCAATGTCTATCCTTCATGATGAGTGATTTTGTAATGAATCAGTGAAAAAAGTTCGTGTTTTTACAGCAAGTTTACGGATGATAGAACGTATAAAAAACGTTAGATGGCAAAAACTTGGTGGGTTATTAAAAAGCCCGAATCTATCTAATAATATCAAATCATTCATCGGCGACAATATGGTGTAGGGTTGAGATTAAAATAGACAAGTTTCCAGCTAGTTTCTAGTTGTTCAGAAGACAGTTTTTACAAGTTGTTATTTTATGGCAAAGAAAACAATAAAATTACGTAGTGTAAGGAGGTTTTGCATAAATAATAAATCAGTTAATATTATATATAGATCATTCTGCCCATAAATTAAAAAAGAGACAGATAGACTTGTTTTTCTGGACATAGATTACCCATTTTCTCGAATCCCCAAAAGAACCCAAACAGATTTTTAAAAGTATCTCATTCATCCCAGTTACAGGTTAGGTATTTAAAGTTAGTATGTATAAATGCTCTGAAGCCATATATATGAATGAAATTCGCTCGAAAATATAATGGGACCTATCTGATTAGTTGTCCATCTATAAAATATAGTGTCACCAACTTAAGGTTTATATCGAGATTATGATTTAGCAAGTGTCGATCTATCTTTTATATACAATTCGAAGAGATACAATGTCACTCTATAATTGTAAAAATATTTACAAAAAAAACTATTTTCCTCTATCATTTAAAACATTTTAAACAATGTACAAAGTTTTTTCTTTTTATTTTGATGAAAAAACCTGGATCAGATTACCAGGTGAAACGTTGGATTTACTTCAAATTCTTTAGGGGAGATTTTACAAATACATTCTTCCGCTTTAATGTACAAAGTTGTCTCGACCACACATTATATATATATATATATGATTTCTGTAGTTCACTAAAAAAATAACCCTTCAAAGCTAAATTTATAATTGTAATGAACTCATTCTTATACTATACACTTACCTATTCAATTTTCTTTTAAAATTTTGAAAGATCTTCATTTTATATTAATTTTTAATTTAAACAAATCTGTCAATATGTTTATAATTTAAAAAGTTTTCTTATATAAGAAATTGAAAACTAACACCATCATTATTAACTAATTAATTACATATCATTATGTCAAAATATCAGTTAGAAACTATTATTATTATTATTATTATTATTATTGATTTATTGCGTCATAATTAATGTGTCAGGTTTCATGGGGGGTTGTTGTATCAATTTAAATAAACTATAAAATCATTACGATAAAAATCGATAATAATTTAAATTTGTAACAGATGTGTTATCATTTAGATTTTATATCCTTATTATTGATTAACCTTGAGTTATTTCTTTTAAAGAAATAATAATTTAAACTTAAACACGTGTTATTCAATTAGATTAATAATCAAGTCACGTGCTGCTTTATAAATAGAAATTGATGAACCGTTATAGATTTTTATCAGAAGGGGATTTTGTGAAGGTTTTAATAATTTAATAAATGAATTCATGAGTCAATTAAAGCTAGACGACCATGGAAAACCTGGAAGCACTGGATGGCCGTTTCGTCCTTGTATGGAACTCCTTAGCAGTGCGCATCTGGTTCAATAGTCTAGAGGTTAAGCGTTCGCGTGCGAGATTGATAGGTCTTAAATTCAAATATCGCGGACGAAATCGTGGATGAATGCTAATGAGGAGTCCCATGCTAGGACGAAACGGCCGTTATAGATTTTATTTACTTCTATTATGTGGAAATTTGTTGAGTAAAAAATCTTTTGCTAGTGAATAAACAGATGATGTAACTCCTTTGTATCAATCAGATCGATATTAACTAGAAAATTGTTAGTTACTTAGAAAAAACAGATCAGACGTTTGCGTCAATTGGAAATTCTCCAGTTTGATGTTCATTTATGAAGTGATGTAGGATTAAACTAGTGATATTGTGTAACACAGAATCCACTTAACTTTAATTCCAATGTTTCAATGTATTCGATCTCTAACATGATATGTTAAAATTCTGAGGTCATCATAGAAACTTATGGAAGGCATATACTATCAATGTTATTAAATGTTAGTTCCATTTGATCACAATAACTGATGAAAATGGAATATATGAACTGTTGAATTTTTACTCGATCGTCTATAGTTATCATTCTTACTGGGAGTATTGAATGTCCTAGGTTATGTATTTTAAAGATTCACATATACACAACTCCGGTGAGTTTCAAACAGATTTTTCAGTATTCTTTTTTTGGTTCTTTATTAGTTTTTGTTAGTCGTGCAAACTGAACTTGGAAAAATTTTAACATAACAATTACTTATATATTTTATTTAGTAGGATATAGTTTAATTAGCATTCGATTAAGTCTATGCATTAACTACTCATTCACAGTTTAAATACACATTAAAAATATGAAACAATAATAAAAAATTTAATAGTTCGGATCATGAGTCAATTGGATGGCCGTTTCCTTTGACTATGGGACTCCTCGGTACTGCGCATACACGATCCTGCCTCGCGAGATTCCAAACCAGGATCTATCAGTCTCGCGCGCGATCACTTAATCTCTAGATCAGTGAACCGGTCGGCATCCGACGATGTTAATATCTAATTTCAATTAATCCACGAAATCGAGCGACACATCCACCATTGTCTTCAGTGGGTTACTATCTCACAACAGACCCGGTTGAACTCCACTGGTCACTGCTTTCCACTAGAACCCCGGGAAATACCTCTTGAAGCCAGTCACAAGAGAGCATATGTTGATTGTTATCAAAAGGGGTCATCCAGTGCTTCCAGCTTTTCCATGGTGGTTTAACTTCAACTAAGTCATGATCTCAACTATTAAAATTATTATAATATCCACAAAACCCTTTATGATAATAATAAAAATGACTGACTAGCTATTTTAACTTTACCTGCCTATTGTATAAACCAGATTTTAATAACATACAGTGATAAAAAATAACACTGTTTTCCCCTTCTTTCAATAAGAAATAAAACACGGGAAGAGAATTAATGGTGAAAATAATAATTAAATCGTTCGCTTTAACCTATAATTATAATGTTTGTCAAAAAATGTAGGCATTTGGAGACAGAGCTTTATTTGTAGAAATTTGGGAAAAATCAATTAAGCGGTTAAACTTATATTCAATAATCGATGAAAGTGACATTATGAAAGTAACATATCTTTTTATAAGCAAAGATGGATAATAGCTAGCAATAGAATTCAGGACGCGCGTTTCGTCCTATTTGGGACTCGTTAGCTGGATGTACCTGCACCCAGTACCATTCACTTCAAAGGCCATCACGTTGTCCATATAGCTACTGAGTCCTGATAGCAGTTACATACAGCTGAAGAGCCCCAAGTGGGACGAAACGCGCGTCCTGGATTCCACTACTAGCCACTATCCATCTTTGCATATAATTCTTGTGACTTGGGGTAATATCGAGGCAATGCGCACAATATGCCTATATGTCAATAAGAGACTGATCAATTGCAGTCCTAAACATCAATCGGATGATTCAGGTAAATAATACCAAGTAAATTTAACATATCTTTTTTAGTTTAGTGAAAGAATTGAAAACCAATAATAATAAATACTTGTAACTTAAATTGAATATGATCTTATTGACTCTAAGGCCACCTTTTCTTCTTAATTTGTTATAAGACCACAATCTAAAATTGTTTAAAGATGCATAGAGTATTCGACTCAGCTTATCATCTTAGAAACATTTGTAATGGAAGCAATTTTTATATATTTTAAATGGGATGAAAGTTGTATTTCATTGAGAGGTTACTATTTTACTGATTATTAGTAATAAATATTTTGGATATTTACCACAGATTTGGAATGGATAGTGACGAAAGAATCAATTGCAACGAGAATACACGAATCAACCACTAGTTTAATGAATTACCTACCCCCTCCAGTACCTTGTGTTACACTATCGTATATATAGTTCCTGTCCTATAACTCGAAATAATTGCTTGTTAACAAATGAAACCAAATTAAAATTAACATAGAAAAACTGTTCAATAATGTCTATTGATTCAGCTATCTAACGACAGAACTGACTGTTCATTTATACACTTGATGAGTATAAAATGGAAAGTAACGTCACAGATTAAAATGGGTTGTGAGCATTCACACTACAATGAAAATGTCAGTTTGAGATGTCAGTTAAAGAAATCAGTAGCCTTCCCAGACCCCTATAACAATCCAAACACCTCATATGTTCAATACTAGAAATATCTAAGCATAGATCCCGAGTTCTGAGTCGTACACTATTGAAGAGTTCCTTACTAAAACGAAATGGCCACCCAGTGCTTCCAGATTTTCAACGGTGATCTATCATTGATCGGTTCTTGTATTCAATGAAACTCAAGATTCTCCTCAGCTATGTACTTGAATCATTTTAATTTCAATCAAATTTATTAACATTTAAAGATTGTACTTATTAAAGCGATCTATTTAGTATCTCAACTGTCATGAAATGCCATATGATTACCAGTCAACTTCAAATTTCAATTAAATACAGAGCTATAAAAAAACAAAATGAAACATACTGATAAAATCAATAATAAAAAATAAACAAACAAATAAATAAATCGATTTATTATTATTTTTTACTTGAGTTTGTGTTAATCCCAACGATGCGGCTAATTCTGCTCTTTCAGGTAAACTTAAATACTGAGTTAAATGAAATCGTTTAGCCAATTGTTGTAATTGCATACTAGAATAAATTGTACGTGGTTTACGTAGTTTTTTATTTTTTTCATTATTAATTATTCGTGTACAATTCGCTGTTGATGATGTTGTTTGGATGTTATTAGAGACAGAGACACTTGATGTCATTGCTATTCTTGATAAAGATGCTGATGATACGGAGGAGGAGGATGATGATAGTGGAACTGTTGTTATTGTTGTTGTATATCCGTTAATCGGAAAAGCTGAATTGTTGATAAGTTGTCTTGACTGTGTAAAATTCAACATTTTAGTCATATTGTTCATCATTTCATTATTATTGCAGTCTACAATCATTCCACCAACAAATCCCATTTCGTGTGCTGTATGTTTATTATAATTTTTTGCAATTGTTAATGTATGAGGAATATTGTTTGTTAATTGAATGGGGACATTAATGTCTAATTCATTTACAGTATGGTTTAAATTTAACTGATGATCCGTTCTTTGTCTTGTACCACCTTCACTCAGATAATCATCTTGACAAACATCATCATTTCCTTCGTCATCCTCTTCATCATCATTGTCATCACCTTCATGTAGACTTGTCTTTAATTTACTAAAATCTTTGTACATAAGATCATTCTTCCAAGTGGGTTTTTGATGTTCCATTAAAACATTACTATGATGATGATTATTACCATTCATAAAATGTTTATTTGACTGTAAATAAGCGGTCAGTGAATTGTTGAAACCGCTGTCTCTACAATTTACATTAGTCTGTTGATGATATGCTTCATTTAATTCAGTCAAATTCAGACATTTTTGGGAATACTGGTCATCTTTTTGTGTTGAATATAAATTCATATGTAAATATTTCTCATAATTCATTTCTTTTAATCTATTAGAATGGAATTTATCATCAGTACAATCTAAACTACTGATTATATTCTTATGAGTAGCATCGTCATCTTCAATAGGTAGGTTAATCTTACTAACTACTGTCAAAGATGACGATGACGATGTCGAACATTCAGATGATGAATTTGAAAATGAAGAGTTTGACGAAGTGTAACCTGACGAATCGGTCATACAATGAGTTGGATAACATGTAATATGATCAGGGTATACCGGTTGATTATCAGAAATCAATGATTGTTCACACTTATTTTGTGAATGATCACTATAAATATTTCCATCGATAATTTGATTATTGCTGTTGGACCACTCAATCATTTTGGAATTTTCTGGTTGTCTTGAGGCTGACTGAAATAGGCAGTTGTCTTTTATGATTCCATTGTTGATAGCTTGATGATAATGAGGACAATGGTATGAGTCGTTTAGTTCTCTGTTTTGTCCCTGTCCGTCAGATGAATTCTTGTTCTCATTGAAATTATTTATTTCTTTGTTGGATTTGCCGGTAATATAACCATGATATTGATCGAACTTATTTCCTGTGGAATAATCAAAGTTAGCAAATTTTATTAACAGTTCAATGAAAAATGGTGAACAATTCTACGATAATTTCAAACATTATAAGCAAAGATGGATAGTGGTTAGCAGTAGAAACCAGGATGCGTGTCCCGCCCTATTTGGGACTTGCCAGCTGGATGTACCTGCATCCTAGAGTTGATGTACATTACAGGATTCGAACTTAGTACATTCCGCTCCAAACGCTATCCACTTAGCTACTGAATCCATGAATCCAGTAACTTGCGCATTCGGGTAAAGTTTTTATTCATTTTTGTATTTTTTGTTTGAATCTTCTCATCGATGTTCTGAACTTCAGTTGACCGGTCTCTTCTTGGGACATGTGCATTCTGCATGGATCGCCTCGATACCGCTTGAATTTACAAGCATTTTAAGCAAAGATGGATATTTTTGAACGCTTTAAACCATGTGAAAAACGAAAATTTACATAATCAGGAACAGGATGAAATACTAAAATTGATCAAATCAGGTCATATTGATTGAAGGAAATATTAAGAAATATTTGTAGTTATGTATCAGTGTAGCTAAAAAAGTTAGATAAGCAGTATTCGTGTTTTTCTAAGCTTATCCACCGGAATGTTACAACGGTAAAATTTCTGATTGTCATAATGATTGAAGTTCAAATTCCCCCTATAGTGAAACGTGTCAAGTGAAACGAAATCTAGATCAAACAAGACTTTGCGCATATCCCACAAATCAGGGAACAATAAACTGTTATCAAAGTTTAGTAAACTTTTGATAATGAAAAATGAATTTCCAAATCAAGGCTTCACTTATCTCATCTTATTTATTCCTATTCATATTTTAGATAATTAGTAGATATATCATAAACCATGAGACCACTCAGGTCGACAATGATGAAGTATATTAAAATGACTATACTGTAATTTGTCCAGTATATGTAAATTCTTGTAAAAAATTCCCGATTGTATCCTGTAATTGAAATGAAGTTTCACATAGAATATAGATTATGTAAGTTTGTGATGGGATTCCTGAACTAGTAAATTGGTGCTTAAAGAGATGATAACTGTCTCTACCTGACACGGATTAACTCCATTGGTCACGGCTTCTCACTAGAACTCCGAGAATTCACTCACAAAGCTAGTCATTAATGAGCACATTGTAGACAGATTATTTCTCTGCATTTTTGCGAAGTTACTATGTTTTTAGATTTCGAATTCTAGCTATTATACATCAAATTAAACTTCTCCATAACATTGTTAATAAAAATATTTTTTTTTAAGAATTTGATATAAAGCACAATGATTTGTGTAGTAATTTCAAGCAACTTTTATATAGATTTATAAATGATCTAGTAAGCTGCAAATGGCTTATGCAATGATTACGTCATTTATCTAATCTAATCTATCTATCTATCTATCTATCTATCTATCCACACATCTATCTATCTATCTATCCACACATCTTTCTATCTATCTATCTATCTATCTATCTATCTATCTATCTATCTATCTATCTATCTATCTATCCACACATCTATCTATCTATCTATCTATCTATCTATCCACACATCTTTCTATCTATCTATCTATCCACACATCTATCTATCTATCTATCTATCTATCTATCTATCTATCCACACATCTACCTATCCATCTATCTATCTTAATTATCTGTTTATCTACCTACTTCTATATAAATACATATGTATAAATTTGTGTTTTATTGATACAAATATCATCCATCCAACAATACAATATCGTACTGAATAATTGAAGAAATTAATTTTTTTTCTAAATTCCAACTTTCAGGCAAACTAATACAAATAACTGATAAACTTTAAGTGTATTCTAATCCAGTAATATCACTATTCATATATTACACATATCCTATTTGAAAATAATTCTTAACTTTATACTATCATTTTAACTGTATCTATGCTTAATGTTTCAACGTTCATTATTATCCACTTTTCTGTTCATTTAATGGATAAGTGCTCCTATTATCTGTAATTGTCTGTTATGAACATTTTAATTATAATGCAGTCCAACATGTCAATCTAAAAATACTGAGTTAAGGCTAGAAATGAAGTTTTTGATAAAAGAAAAATTACTCTTATCTATTAAATGAATGATGAAATAGATAAAAGTATTTGGTAGTGTTGAATGTTGAAAGTTTTGTGAACAGTCTTAATTGACATTCCCTAACCTCTAAAGCAATTGATGAATAGCATATTTTACCAGATTAGTTAATCACAAATTTGTGTTTATAAACATAATTTATGTAATAAATTAGTAAGTATTTCGGTAAAAATTGCGTAAAAATCTTATCTCTGTGTAAGTCAATATTGATTTGTTTTACTTATTTAATGCAGATACATCCTAGTATATTTGATTTGTAGAAAAAGAGATAATATTGTGAAGAAATTAAAGGAGGAAACGGTTTGTGTTCGAGACAAGTATATTCGGATTCGATCCCCTGGTGGTAGGATCGTGGATGACTACTGCTGATGAATCTTATGCAGTGAAGAAACACGTGTCCAGTGCTTCCTAGTTTTTAATAGTTTATTTGCTAAGATCAGTTCGTTATATAACTTATGAATATAAGAATAAGTGGGTAGTAGTAATCTATGGTGAGAGGTACAATTCAGTTAAAAACTTAACCTCACGACAATTCTTCCAAGTTAACAGAGTTTCTATAACTTTTATAAGGTATATTAAACAAAACTACAGTAAAGTATCTATTTGTTTCTATTCTGAGTTATATCTGAAAATGTTAGAAGCCACTGAGTTAGCAAGCTTCTCATCATCGAGTTGAAACAATTGAACAGTCATTGAAAATCAAAGAATACTTCAAAATTGTATAGTGATAAGATGGAAAGAAAAGTCGAAATTCGATTGATTTACTCATTATGAGTTTTGTTCAATATTACTTCCGTTCTGATTCAATGTGATGATCATTCACTGTAGTATTCAGTTTTGTGTTCTCGTATGATATTTTACTCAGTATAATATACGATATTCTTGTATTCAATTGATATATAAATAGCTTTAGATGACTGGAATGAAATTCCCAATACAAGTCACACTTTTACATGCAACATATACTCTAAATAAAAACAAAGGTGCTATAAAATGCTAGATATTGCATTCTAAACATCATATAGTTACACACTCACTTATTATCTCTACAATTTATCTCGAATTTAATTATTGGAAAGCTTAAAAAGTAACATTATAATGATTACGACGATTTTCACTTCCATCTTTGTTATTTGTTTATCATATAAACAGTTGGAGTGCAGTCATTTCAAAGTATACTACTGAATTATTGGTTCAAATCTTGTTACTGATTATGATTCAGGTGATTGAGTAGTATGTGTTATGATTGCTAAATATAATTATAATTCAAATTTCACTTTGAGAGTTGAACTAGAAAATTCACTGCGTTTTCGATACAACGTGTGTTGTCACAGCGACTGGATATTTCTTTGAAGTTTAAAAATATTAGTCAAGACATTTTATGGAAATTAATTTTTACTTAGAGGTGAGAGTCATCATAGATTGATGTATGTTTAAGTTTCAAAAGATGTAAAAACAAATGTTCATTATTCTTTCTCAAGGATAATTCGGTTGATATCAGTTCTTAAATTTGCAAAAAAAAATGTTCTATTTAAAAGAAACTAAACCTTTATTGTTTAGAATGTATAAATTGTGACTAGTACCGGGATTTAAAACGCTCATTTCATTCTATTTAGAACTTGTCACAGTTTTATGTATTTGCCAAATGTTGATTTAGATGTTTACACTGGAAACACGAACCTAGTGCCCTTCACTTGGTTCTGTTCCGAATAATGTTGCTCTTAGAACAGGAACCTTTAAATTATTAATATAGCATAATAATAATTTTTTTTTGTTTCGTTTTAATTAGAATTTTGACAGGATTTTACTAAAGTGGCAAATGTATTATTTCTTTCCTCTAAATGTAATTGATTATATTTAGGTTAAAAGCGAGATAATCTAATTACTGATTGATTTTATCAGATGTTTAAAGAAAAAAGATTAGTCATTTGAAGATCATTTTCAATAACAGAGATTTTAGTTTCGTTAAAAATTGATATCGTGTTACTATGGAAATGTAAGATTCAGCCATCCAGCAATCACCTGCTGTGTACCTGTCTAATGGAGTAAATCCTGACACGAATATGCAAACATTTGATGCCTTAACGAAGGTCATGTTCTATTATCTGAAACTTCTAGTCACATTGCACTTTGTGAATATGAAGAAGGTGAAGATAATCTCATTCACGATTCATAATATATGATAATAATGATTTTTCAAGAATGATATTATTTGTTAATATAACTAATCATGATATCTCAGTGCAAACACCTAGACATTCAGATGAAAATACACCCAGCTGATGATAATCAGATGGGATGAAATCGGAATTTTAGATTTCACTGCTAATCATAATTCAGATGTAATGAAAGTTCTAACTTTAAAAGACAATAACAAGATCATTCATTCAGGATGCACATATGTTAACATAGAGACTATTCACTTGCAGATCTCAATATCAACAGTTGAAAAAGACTAAAACTCTTACAAATAATTTGATATGATAGTTTCAACAAGATTGCTGCTAAATACACAAGGAGATATATTAAATATAAAGACAAGAGTTTTTATGGTATTCAATTGAAACTCAAATCTCATGTTCAAACTGAAACACTCAAATAAAATAATAATAATAATAATAATAATAATAATAATAGATTATCTTACTATTCGTTTTATCGATTAGCGAATTTTCATAATGTCCATCATAACTGTTAGATATTTCCAGATTTTTATTGTGTTTATCGAGATTATTATTCCAGTTAGAGTTTGTTTTCATCAATGTTTCGAGTTCACATTCCATGTAATTGATTAATTTATTATGATTCATATTCTCAACTTCAATGTTGACTTTTGAAGTATCTATACCGAATTCATTACTACTATTACTACTATTATCATTATGAATAGTAGTATTTGTGATTTTACAATCATTATTATCATCATTTAAATGTTGAATAGATTTTCTAATTTCATAATCAATAGACTTGTCGATTTCTCCACTTTTTTTCATTGTGTTATTCACTTCATCATCTTCGTCACTATCACAATGGTGATGGTGATGATGACATGGAATATTCAAATTTTCACAAGTCATCTGATTAATTATCCAAGAACATTCAGTGTTATTTTCACCACTATTATTATTATTATTATTATTATTCGAGATTGTATTCATTGCATAATCTGGCCATTTCAACGATTTATCGATTACATTCAATGTTTCAGTGTTCATTTCAACCAGTGATATTGTTATTATTTGATTCAATTATAAATAATAAGCTAGTTTCATGAATGACATCAAATTTTTAATCATATGTACCTGAACATTTGTGTATGTATTTATGTCTACGGGTATGAAGCTAAATAATAGGTATGGAAATTAATGTTCATACTCTTCAATTGGGAAAAATATTGATATTGTAATTCGATTAAGAACAAAAAAAGTGTGAAACTATAAATATATATTATTGCATAACATAAAGTTTTATTCTTTCAAACTATGTATTAAATGTTAGAAGAATAAATACATTGAAATACTTTTGATTATAGGGTTTCACAATGATGTAGAATTTACTAAAAGAACTGAATATAGTTTACTTTTTTGTTTAAAAAAAAGTACTGGATAGCTGGACGTCCAAAAAATTGAACTATTATTATTCTTACGTTATTCAATATGTAAGTTAGATTTAAGTCAGTATACGATTTGATTTATATACATATATATGTATTAGTGTAGATCGTTACTTATGTGTACGTTATTTATACCATAGGGAAATTCATCTATAGGTTGGATTAGAGAAGAAAAATATTAACTCATATATCCATCATCCATGGACATCTAACAATATAACTATCTACCTATCTACTAATCGACCGCAATATATATATATATATATATATATACCATACTAAAAGTTTAGACACGCGAATACATTAGTTTCCTATTTATTATTCATTTATTTATTCTTTAAGTATATACTTAAGAATGAATAGAAAAATATATTATGTTTTATTTGTTCGCTTTTATGGTTTTCCCCTATTTCTATAAGAAGAAATTCTATCTAACCAATAGTTTCTTTCTATTTTTTTTTCATTATTTGTTTATTTTGTAAATGTTGATTGGTTAGAAATATTTGGAAATAATAATACATAGAAACAAATATTATCTTAGTGATTATTAAAATTAAAATAAAACACACACACACACACGAAATAATAATACAGTTTATTTTGATGAAAATTTCAACCAATAGGATTATTGGAAAAAAAATTAGATTTTAGTAATTTGTCGATCGAATATTTTAAACATGCAATACTCCTTTTTCAAATAATCAGTGACATTATTATTATTATTATTATTATTATTATTATCAATGGCTTTATTCAATATTATATTTTTGGTACAATATAGAATTCTCAGAAAAAGTATTTCAACAAGATTATTTTTATCAGAAGGGGTTTTGTGGAGATTGTAGTGATTTCAATCATTAAGATCATGAGTCAGTTTAAGCCAGACCACCATGGAAAACCTGGAAGCACTGGACGGCCGTTTCGTCCTATTGTGGGACTCCTCAGCAGTGCGCATCCACGACCTCGCCCCCTGCGAGATTCGAACCCAGGACCTAGTGGTTTCGCGCGCGAGCACTTAACCACTAGACCACTGAGCCGGCATCCAACGGTGTTCATGTCTAACTTCAACTTTTTCTTATTATTTTTGATCAATCCTGATGATAAATATTGAGTAGTTACCAGTTAGATGTTAACAGTTCAAGAATTGATATTTGAATAATGTGAATTCTTTTCGGTGCATATTACCAACAACCACAATGTCTTTGATTGGGCTGTTTTTTAACTTGTACAGTGAAATGTAATAAGCTTTTTACAAACGCACCTGAATAGGTTATGCAACTAATAGGCATAATGATGTGTTAAACACAAACAAAAAAAACAGATAACTTGATGAAATATTCAGAGGGAGGGAACAGGTACCCCAGATATTCAAACAGGCCGCCTTACAATGTTAAGAAAAAAGATAGAGTTTATGAAGAACAAAATAATTGATGCACAAATTGATCATTGATCAAGATTGTATGGTCCTTTATATTAACCGAGTTCTATTCATTGAACGACTGCGTGTTCAATAGTCACAGTTATTCGATATGAATTTATACTTTATTGTCACGTTAAATGGTTAAGACTAATCAGAGGAAATTCTTGACATTATAGTTTATTTCAAATTGTAATTGTAAGTAAAGCATATCTGTCATCTTTAATGAACTAGTATCCTCTTATATTCATGAAATCTCAAATACTAACACCTATTGTAATGGTTCGCACTTAACATGGTTGATATTTGGTACTACATTTGATTAGTCCGTGTAACCATTTATGGATCCTATGTTATATGCTTTAGTCATACCTTTTAAAATAAGTTTTATCATCAACGAGAAATGACAAATCTTTAGAAATACATTCATTCCCGTGAGATAGGTTAGTGGATATCTGAACTCAGTATTCTGTAAAATGAAGCATCAGATCTTTAGTTCAGTGTTAGTTTTATGCAAAGATGAAGGTATATTCACATGGCGAGTTGGGAATTAGACGAAATGTATGTTTTAGAGTCATCTATTATTTGTAAACCAGAATATGTCACCATATATGTTTGTTCTGTGGTGAATATTAATTTCCTCACGATTTGCAGATATTCTTTAATAAAACATGTTAAAATATCATGCAATCAACGTTTTCAGCTTTCGTGTTGACCCTTTCTAAGAATAACTTAGTGAAGGTGAATAATTATTCGATAATTAGATTAAATCAATGTCAGATTATTAACACAGATAATTTAATGCTATGGATGTTGTTCATGGTTACTTTGGTATTGCGTCACGAAATAATTGAAGTTAAAATGTTTTCTTATATACAACACAAGTGAGTGCAAATTTTTTTATTTCGAACTCTTGAAAGCAAATCATAATATTATAAGCTGTGAAGTAGTCAGCTATAGGCTAAAGTTAATTAATTCAATAGTACTGTATTGGCTTTCGTGTCAAAAACATTGTTGAAATCACACAGTGAAGTCAGGTAAAGAAGTATATAAAGGTCAGTGAACGTTTTTCAGCTATACCATTACAGTGTGATCATTCTAGATGGTATTTAGTTACCCGAGATCTGACTCCATTTAGATCGTATAATTGATTGTTATTGAAATATAAATGTCGTTTATCGTCGTATATAATCATCGACTTAAATCGCGTTAGTCAATAACGGAATCAAATACGTCAAATACGATAAACGAATTCGAATGCGTATATACTGTATAATCATTGATTCAGACAGACGATCAAAGGAACAAAGCGAAACGGGATGGCGCGCAGTGGAGAAGGCGTCTGAGCCAATTCTATCTAGTCATGCGTTAATCAATATTTAGTCACACAAAAATAAGCTACAGATATGTGGTGAGTAGGATAAGATGCACACACATATATGCTCATATAAAGCAGTCAGGGTTGACAAGTGAATAATTAACAAGGTCAAAACGTGACTGAAGAAGAATGGATAAATTGGCCTGTCCAGAAGCTGGAATAAGTTATGTAGGCTTAATATAGTAACCGACACTACAGGTAAAAGCCCACAAGATTCACTTGTGCCGTGATTAGTGGAGTTTAATTCGTGTATGGTGTGGGAAAGATATTTATCGTAGGCAATAGTCGAGGGTTGTGCAATATGGCGACATTAACATCACCGCATGCCGAGTCAGTGGTTTAGAGATTGAGCATTCCTGTGGGTTAGTGGAGAAGGTAGATCCACTTCTTGAATGAGGAGTCATGGATACGCAGTGTTAAAGAGCCCCATAGAATGACGAAACAGCCGTCCAATGACTCCAGGTTTTCAATAGTGATCTAAATAAAATCAGATAGTAGTTTAATCTGTGAAGAATATACGATATTCAACTATCCCTTATCTTATTTTGTATTGGTTCAAATTAACTATTTGTATCTATCGACTGCATGTATTTACAGGCTTCTTTAGGGTGTTTACAGTTTATCTCGAATCTAAACACTGAAGAATTCAAGAAGTACCATTACACTGGTTAGTAATACAGTCAGATATCGAACCAAGAATATTCACATTTTGTATTATTATTATTATTATTATTATTATTATTAAAGTACTCAGTTAAAGAGAATTCAGTGGTTAATATTTCGAAGCTGAAAAAATTTATGATATAAATCGATTAATCCTTATTGTCATCAACGACACTTGTCTTCACACGAACATAGTAGAACAGTTTCGTTAAACATGAGTCCATCAACGTGTTTAATTTGAATTCTTAAAACAGTTCCATAACCTAAGTAATATTCAAGTCCATCACAGTGTGTTTTCCAGTTTCTAATTATTTATTCCGTCCATTCACAGGACAATTCACATATTTTCCATTACAATTTTCAGTTATTTATTTCATTAGTCTAACAAGCACAATATGTTAGTAGATATCTATATTGAAAGTGTATTGTGTGCTAGGGAACGAGTATCCACAGCAACATTTATAAAGAAATCTGTAAGAGAAAGGGTATAAAAGAAAGTTTGAATCAACAATTCAGTAATTACATAAGATAATACATTTATAATAATAGCACAAACTTGTAAGATTAAGACGACTTGACAATCAGAAACCAACCTTGTAAGAAGATAGTTTTGCATTGATTTTCAAAATAGCTAGATAAAATCAAAATTTATTGACCCAGCACAAATCATTCCTGCGGCACAACCACATAGGTATCAAGAATACTGATGAAAAAAATATATTTCTTCTTCTCTATTCATCTTTTCAGTCAATAATAGGACGAAACGCCCGTCCAGTGCTTCCAGGTTTTCCATGGTGGTCTAGCTTCAACTGACTCATGATCTTAACCATTGAAATTGTATAATAATTACTGAAATATAATAACCAACTGAAACTAGAAGTCAGTAGAGCAAGATTTCAAATCTGTTTAAATCAAGAAATTTCTCAAAAAAAAATAAAGAAAGAGAACAATGATGATTTTCGGACTTGAACTGTGGAGAGGACCCATAAAAGCAAACAACAAGGGA